CCAGTCATCATTAACATGACAAACAAAACCCCATTTCCAGGTAGGGCCCCATCCACAAGTATAAGGAGGGATCCAGAGTCCAGCACAGCTTTTGTGGGACACAGTTCAATCCATGGCATCATCCATCGTGTTCTCAGGCCTTTCGGTGTTGATCTACCAAGTAGCTCGTCTCAGATCTTTGGGGTGAGGACCCCTGGTGGCAGAATGAGTACACTTTGTGCCGAGATCTGCAGGCATTTTTGGTTCTAGCAGATAGATGGTTAAACAACTAGGCATTTTGTATTGTTTTGTTGTCAAGAGGAACTAGGAGGAGGCAAAGGAAGGATTAAGTTTGCCTGGTCTGCCTTTTTACCTAAAGACCTTTCTGTGAATTTATATGCCCTTTTATGCATCGCTGTAACTCCTTTGTGACTTAGAGTCCTGCCACAATGAAACTTTATATTATAGTTAAATAAGCAAATTAATAGAATTCACTACCTGCTGAAGACTGTAAACCTGTCTTTGAATAGGTCAGACAGGAGGAGATGGTCCCAGGGGACGTTAGAAAATAAATGCAAAGGTTATCACAAATAAGAAAACTTCCGATTCTGAAACAGTTGGGTTCTGTTCAAGGTTCCCGTTTTTCTCTTAATTTTTAAGCAGTATTTACTGTGTCAGCAGATTGAAGTTCAAGTGGGCTTTCGCAATCTTTGCTCCATTGACCTGGCTTAAATTAGAATGTGATTGAAGACTGGACCAGTTTTTTTCTGACCAGCCAACTGCTTCTCCTTAGCCCCTTGCTATTGAGCCCGCCTTTCTAAAGCCAGTGTGCCTCCACTCAGAGCTGGCCTTCCAGGGACACAGTTTTAGCTCTGCCCTTATCTTCGTTCCAATCAGAATTGCAGATTACTTAAGTATCATTCTAGTTCTTAGAAATGAAGCCTTTAAAAGGCCTTTACATCTCCTCTAAGAAGATTTTTTTTTTTTTTAACAAATCACTTTTAAAAGCACAGTGTTAGGGTAGAATTGAGTGGTAGGAGATGATAGGCCTGGTTGGTTTTCTTCAAAGCTTCTCCTCGTGGTTTCGAAGGCCTGTCTCTATCCCTTCAGCCTTGGCGGGTTCCTGTCGTGAGCCTCTGCCCCAGCCAGCCCTGCCTTCTGCTGGGCCAGTTGGATTTCCTGCTCCGGACTTCCTGGGATTAGCCCCCTGAGTTAAACGCAGTGCCTGCACGGTTGGGAGGGTTTTCGGCTGGGCGTCAGGAGACAGGATGAGGAGAGACAGGATGACGTTCACAACGTCACTAACTCTACAGCTTGAAACCACAATGTGTCCCTCTTTGCTCAGAGGCGCAAGATGTGTTGCTCGGTTTGAATATATCGGGGACCGCAAGGATGAGCTGAGTTTCTCCGAGGGCGAAATGATCCTCCTTACCGAGTCCGTGAATGAGGAATGGGCCCGGGGCGAGCTTCGAGGCAAAACTGGGATTTTCCCCGTGGATTTTGTGGAACAAGTGGAGGCCCAGCCCCCCGCAGGCACGGGTGCTGTCGGTGAGTATGCTTGGGAAGGAAGCACCTACCTGCTGGCATCGCGTCCTAGTTCCAGGAAGCCGAAGACTAGGGTAACACTGCCTCAGAATTCTACGGTTCATAAGGTAGACAGAAGCATGATTGTCTTTCTATGTGAATTTGGTCATCTTATCAGGGGTAAAGTCTCCTAGAGCTGGTATTGGATGTTTCTGATACATAGCAATAGGTTTCTTGGGGGAAAGGCTTGGGGGAAAAAACCATAAGGCCATCTAGCTCAGAAGCAACAAAGTCCACATGGAAGAACACATCAGCCTGTATGATCATGAGGTGCTGAAGGAATCAGTTAATTACCAGGCATCAAAGAACAAAAATACATATCATTGTGTGCTCACCTCCATGATACGATCGCTGAAGACAAATGGGTGCATAAGCAAATGTGGCGAAGAA